AAATACTTTTCGAGATAATTAGTGTACCCACTTAAAAGAATCACCATGTATACTAGGGGTCTAAAACCTACGAACAGCGGCTCAGTTCCGTCCCGATAAGCTTTTTGAACTGACCTACCTTTAAGTTAATTGATTTTTTTTTAAATATATGTATTTGATACATGAATTCCTAAAAATAGTTCTTATTAATCTTTAATTTTATTTCTTCTCTATCYTTATCTAAAAATGTTTGTCCTGTGGTGCTAAAGCTTATCACATGTTTGGACTAGTATAAAAAAAGTTAAGAAACCCCTGCTATATACTATAATAAAATAAAAATGTTTAGTAATTTCACTGCTCTTCTACATTGCATGTTTAATATAAAATATTTTATACTTAATAATAAGTATATATTACTTTTTAATATGACATCTTAATTGAATTCATAATTTTTTGGCTAAATATTTATTTTATAATTAATTACAAAACATGATTTTTATTTGTTTTATTTTAGCTTACATTCAGTAATTTTAATAATGGAAAGTGCTCTCTTTGGTATGTTTGTTATTGCAATTTTATATGATCAAATGGATGCTATTTATAATGATCAGACAACAATTGAACAAACAGTCTACAAACGTCCAAATCCATTACATAGATATATATTTTCAGTTATTTGCCGATGGCCAAAAATATCTAGATCTACATCTAAACTTAATATTCGATCTGTATAATTTATTTATTGTTACTTTTTTTAATTTATTAATTTAGGTACTAATTAAACCATTAAATATTTGAATTCATATTAGGAAATAGGCATATTATATATGCAAAATAGTTATAACTTTGTATTTTAAAAATTGATGAAAAATACAAAATGATAAAATATTTTAATCCRAAAAAAATACAAAGCAAAAATTGTTGTTTGATTTTACAATTTCATGTTTTTTCTTCTTGTTTTGTTATGGTACAAATTACAATTATATTTTGTCAATTTTGATGCATACTGTTTACGCACACTATTTCGTCTCTCATATTATAATTTTTTCTCACCTTTATTCCTTTCATAATTTAATTTTTTTCTATTAATTTCCAACTATCAAAAAATGTATTCACTGATTTTGTCATAAATGCTTGCTTCTCAATTTGAAATTAAAATGTTAATTGTTATAAATTCTTCCCTAACTTTATTAATGTACATTCTCTGTCTTTAATTGTTGAACAAATGCCATGCATAGTACCATTGAAAATATATTACAATAAATATTTTATGCTTTTTGATAGTATATACAATATAAATCTTTTAAATATAGTTTTAAATTCTTAAAAAAAATGTTACAATTTGTCATTATATTCAACTTTATAATAAATTATTATAAATTACTTTTCTAATGGCAAGTGTAGCAATACTAGTGTCTAACATCCGGTTCCTGTATTATATGATGTTTTTTTTTTTAAATTTATTTTTAAGAATTATATTCATTAACATGATATTATGTGTAAATTTAACTTTAGCATAAACCTTAAATTGTATGTATTAATATTTTATTTTTTATTTTAAGATTTTGAGTAAAACAGTGCTAGATTATAATAATATAGTCATACAATAACATATTACTAAATATCAACTATATTAAGAAATCCTTAAAGTCAAATAGAACAAATTGTTTAATACAATATTAAAAATAAAAATAATCGTAAAATATCTAAAAATGTATTTTATGACTACGTGCACAGTGTATACTATTAATATACAATTAGTTAGACTTTTAACTAAAAAAAATGCTTAAGTGTATAAAATTAAAACTGGGTTTTTTAAATTTTTGATTCAGTACCTAGTGTAAATTGTTATGGTTATAATTTATAACTATTGAGTTATGGTCTAAATAGGTTTATTATAAATAAATAATATGATGAAATATTTATACATTACAATAATTTACTAAGTTRCTATATAGTGACAAAATGTACAATACATACTCTATCAATATGAATTATATGCTTTTTAGTGTAGTTTACTTGTATTGGATCTTGTCTATTTTTGTAGATGTTTTTATACATTAATAATTATGCAATGTATGTGGATTCCAAATTAAATATGTGATGTTAATATTTTTAAACATGGTGTTAAGTTTAACAATTTATGTACTTCATGCTTACTTAATAAGTTTTAATTTTAATATGTAGTATATTTATATGTAAATACACATATATTCAGAAAATTGTATTATATTGTTACTTTTGTATGTTATAATTTAAAATGTATAAAAATAATATTTCTATGTAAAAATTATATAATTTTGTTAAAAATCTGAATGCAATAAACTATATATATWTWTTTTTTTCTATCGGTTAAGCATCAACTACATAGGTTATTAGCTTTAACAAAAGTATTACATTTTTACATTGTTATATGTCATTGTACAACTCAATTTTCGTTAGATATAAATTATGTTTTGATAGTTATAGAAAATAGACCAATTGCCTTGTACAGGTTGTCAGGGATGTGGAAGTCTTTCCTAGCTTCATTGAAGTTTGGACAGTGGACGATGATGTATTTGATGGAGTAGTGTTCATTGCATGTTGGGCATAGGGATGGATCTATTTTTGACATWAGGTGTCCATGTGTGAATTTTGTGTGGCCTATTCTAAGTTGATTAAGAAGTACCTATTTTTTTTATTTAGGTCAGTGTATTTCAGCTAGAGTTGAACAGAGTGCTTAATTTCTTTTAACTTATTTTCTGTGGTGATGTGCTATTTGGTGTACCACAAATCAATGCAATCTTTGTTTATATTTCTATTTATGTCAAAAAGTGATGAAAAAGTAATTATTTAATTGGTGGGACTATTTCCTTTTATGTTGCAATCACCTGAGTTCCAAGCGAATCTAATGTTCTTGTTTGATGAGAAAAGAAGGTTATTTTTAGAGCAATGGCTCAGTTATAGTATTTTAAATTGGAGATTAGTTAAGGCACTGAGTGAGTCGGAACATATATCTATTTTGTATCATTGATTTCTAGAGCTAATTGGTTTCTTTTAAATCAGTGTTTCTTAATCTGTGTTCAGCRAAAGTTTAAAATCGCAAGAGAGAAAAATCGTCGGCGGCCGGACTCTAAAGATAATTTTCAAAGGGGTTCTGCATGAAAAAAATATTATTGTTCGATGTTCCGTGGCATCAAAAAGGTTGATAAATACTATTATATATAGTGCTAGGTATTTAACTGTATAAATACTGCTTAAATTATTAAGTTTGAACTGTTTAATTACATTGAGGTGGACTACTGCAAGTCCTATACCCGTTTCACTTTTAGATACATCAGTGTAAATCTGACTACTGTTATTTAGAACTGTGTATAAGTTCATTAAATAAATTGTTATAAATAGTATTTGGTGTTTCTTTTTTCAAGTATTCTGTTAAGCTTGTATCAACTATGTAATTTGGTTGTTTCCAAGTAGGTATTGGGCTATTTTCCCTTTGATATATTTCATTAAATGCAATATTGATATCCATCATCTCTTTCTGTAGTCTTAGCCTTAATGGTTTCTCAGTTTAGAATTGTGTTTGTATATATTGAAAAATTGCTTTTTTATTTAAAAGGCGAAAGGTTGAATCACAGACTATATATATAAATATATTTCATATAATATGCTGTGGTTGAAGTATCAAGTGTATGTAAATATGTTACGAGCTTTATTATTAAGAAGGTATTAATTTAGTTCTGCAGAACTGAAATGGGAGTTCTCCCATCAGAGATCACAAACTAATTATCGGGCTGCTTTTGAATGTGCCAATTGAAAATCTCAGTCATGCATTAATATCTACAATTTTTAAAATCTTCGAGTCTGTGTTTCAATGAACTATATTGTGTCATAATATAATGATATATATATATGCATAATTTAGCAAATAACTTTTTATAATATTACCTAGATTCTACAATTCTAGATGAATAATTTTAACTTAATAATTTTATATTTAATCCTCCACATCCTATTGATCAAACTTAATGTTTACTCAAGCAGGATTATTTGCTAGGCAACAGAACTGTTGTTATTATTATATTTGATTTCTTTGCTGTATTTAAAATKACACTGACATTAAATTTAAAAACAAAAAATGTTTTATCATGAAGAATATGATGAACACATCATCACTAAAAAAACAATTAATAATGATCGAGATTGTTTGTTAGAAAGTAGTGATTTAATATCCAAACCAATTAGAAGTATAAGATGTACAATGGATGACAATATATTACAACTTCAGTATCCTTTATTTAATAGAAATTAGAAATAGTATTTTTGCACATAATATAGATTTTAATGTGTAATTGTGGTTATTGTCTATAATTAAAAACAAATTACTTTTTTCTATAAAAAATTAATTATATTATATATGTGTATATTTTTTAAATACATTTGTAGAGTGATTACAGGAACTGCAATGGTGTGCAGTAACACTATTTCAAAAGTTAAAAATCCTTAAGCATTATAAATAAGTCATTCTTTTGGCTATGATTGCTGTTCTAAAATGTTTAATATATGTGCTGCAGACAAGCATACGATTGTGTATGCAGCTGGTAGTTATATAATTATGTTTGATATCAATGAAGAAAAATTGAATTTTAGAAAATGTGCTGGAAATGGAGGAATAGGACATATAGCTGTAAGTTTATACCTATTTAAAGTTTTTGTGAAAAAAATGGTTAACAATAATTAATTTTTGTTGAATTAGAAAAATCCAGTTTTGAGTCACATTGCAGTAGGAGAAAATTGCAGTAATCCTCTGATTATTGTGTATGAATGGCCAACATTTGAAATAGTTAATGTTCTCAAAGGTAGTGCCGAACAACAAAACAATTGGTTGTCTTATAGGTAGGTATAACTAAAATCTTAAAATTTAAACTAGGTATCTATAAAAAAGAATTTATGTTTATATAGGTACCATTCATAGGCGCAATTTGGGTTAGATTTATGGGAGTGCTAGATTTAAGTTGACCAAAGTGATAAAATTATCTCCTAATGTCTATGACATAAAATCATAAGTTTATAACCAATAATAGTATAACATAGCATCCCCAAGCACCCCCCCCCCCAAATTGCGCTTATGATATGGGTACTGTACCTATAAACTAGGTACTTATAAACAACCTTGTTTAACATTTTGAATTCTTAGCTATAAAAATTGAAGATTTTAATAAATTAATAACTATACACTTACCTACAAAGTTATTYACAATTTTTCGAGATTTTTATGACTTCCTAAAAATTTCAACTTTAAATGCTTTCAAAAAAAAATCATTTATATATTATATGTATCTTTGATATTTTTCAATTGCTATTACCTACATCAACTTGTCAAGATCCTTGTATTATTTTTAAAGGTTTTTGACAAACATTTTTTATTGTTATTCATTGAAAAAAAAAACTAAAAATTGGTATTGTGTATAGCTCAAAACGAGTCAAAATATTTTAAATATTGTATTGTGTATTTGTTACCTATAAAAATTCATAAAATAAATTTTGGTTGAAATTCCTAAAGTATCTACGATAATTTGTTTTTTTAAATACAACAAAATAAGAAAATTATTTTATGAAAAATAGAGTGAAATTTCTAAATAGTAGGTAACATTTTTGTTTTATTTAAAATACCTTGGATAAGTTGGATAATAATAACATATGAGAAATCTTGTATAAATGATCGTATTTCAAATAAAAATGTTTTTATGAATTTCTAACAATTTCAGACAATTTTGAAATTATTGTGATTTTAATGAATTTGTCTACATATTTTATTTA